TTTCTCCCTTTCCATCTTTCTTCCTGGCAATCATTATCAGCATGATTATCTATATTATCTACATTATCACCCACACCCCTTACTAGCATCTAAACACTACTTGTGAAAGTTTTTAATGGCTGGGTCATCATGCTGAAAACAGTGATAACAAAAGAATGGGGGATGCTGAGTATTCAGGAAAGACTTGTTAAATAAATATCATAGCCTGAAGAGGCTCCCCAAGGCCCCTCTGAAAGTGAAAAGGGAGATATGTTCCTAATATGTTTCCAGGTTAACTCTCCTAGACATTGAATTAGTACCCATCAATCAGATCTTCTTTTGACATAAGCAACAATCCTAAGTATTCTGTTGTCTATTTCATTAAAATGCCTTCCCTCGTACGGTAGTATTTAATCTCTATCCTAACTTTGTGAGGGATGCTAGTTACCATTATTACCATTACCACGTAGAAAATAATAAATCATCTGAGAAGTGGTAGCTTAATTTCATGTCAATTATTAGAAAAACTATAACAAGTCTCATAATTCATAGTTGGTGGTATATTTTCAAAGTTCGACGTGTCGTTGGATCCAAAATATACCTTCACTTCTGCAGTCTGTATTTACCCATATATCGGCTTCCTGTGGAATCTACTAACCATGGTCAATCATGCTACAAATATATTATAGAGAGAAACGAACAGCTCCTAAATTCTAAATGGCACACTGTTCTGCATGGTGCTGCAAAATCCTGTGCTATCCTGCTCTGCCCCACTTCGTGTGTTACCTACTGTTCTTAGCTTAGCAGCCACTTTCAGCCATTAGATAAACTCCAACAACACGTTTGTGTTCTAGTGACCTTTATTTTTCTTAGTAATAGCATAAAGTGCAAGTGATGCTCTCAATTCAGGTATGCCAAGAAGAGGCTTCAAAATGATTTTGCTGAGGAGTTTCTCTTTCCATCTTCATAAAAAGAATGGGTAGATATTTGGAGAAAAAATAAGACAGCATTCATATAACTCATAATAGAGCATTGTCATAACTGCTGTTTTGTTATTTATCATTAACATCTTACTGTACCTAATTTATAAGTAAAATGTTATATGCGTGTACATATAAAGAAAAGCAATATATAGATTTTGTTCAGTATATAGATTTTGTGCTATCTGTGCTAAGAGTTTTAGGCATCTATTCTGAGTCTTGGGATACATCATCTCTGGAGAAGATGGGACAAGGTGCCTCACTCCTCCTGCTTGCTGCAGAGGCTGAACCCACACAAAGGCTGAACCACCAAGCTGCCTCTTCAGCCTACTTTTGTTAGTTTTTGTTTTGAAATGGTCTCACTAGAGTTTCATAGTTGGCCTTGGACTCACTCTGTAACCTAGGGAGGTCTAGAACTTTAGATAATCCTGTATCAACCTTCCAAAGAGCTGGGATTACAGACCTGCACCACCAGGTTTGGACTGACATGCTGTCATTGATACATGTCATTACTAAGTTGTTGGCTTTTCATACAAAATCAAGCAAATCCCAGATTTTGGCTTATCCACCTGAGTAAACAGGAACTCCTAAAAGTTTCTGCATATACTCCTAAAGGTTTCTGCATATACAATCAGATCGTCATTTTAGAGAATCTTGATGTAGGCAGACATATATTAACTTCTCATTGCCAACCCAGATGTGAATACTCAACATTGGCATTAAGAAGAAAGCATCAATTACAACCAGGATATTCCACTAAACACCTGCATCCCAAGCACTTAGCCTGAAATAAGTCTGAAATGTATTCTGTGGAATTATTCTGGTGAATGTAATATCAGTAACCAAAAGGTTAAAAAATGAAAACTGCTCAGAGGAAGGCTTGTTAAAAGAATTAGTAATGGGATACGGGTGCAAGTTATCTTTAATTTGTGGGCATGTGTCCAGGCTCAATTATTAGTAACCAAAAATCTATTGCATTTGGGAATTCTCAGTGCTCTGGTGGAATGATTTAGATCGGAATGCCTCCGTTTAATGAATCTTAGAGCACTGACTTTTTTTAAAGCAACATTTCCCATCTATGTGGGTTTTTTTCTCCTGTTGTTTATTGCTGAACTAGTATTTCTCAAAACTTGCCCTCCTTACAAGTTTCTAAAGATTATCTCTCTACAATATACTGAAATTACACTTGAAGATCGACTATTTGCCTTTGAAAATACTTTCACAATTAACAGAAATCCCTTTGGATCCCACCCAAGAGAATTTTAAAGTCTGAGATGAAATTACTTCTCATTCCACTGAAGTTTCATCTCAAGAAGATTCAAACATCTTTGGACTGTGAAGATGGCCTCATGAGAAAGTGCCTCTGACTTCCCATGATGCTTTGGAAAGACAGTTTTATTTCTGATTTTTCACTGCCAGAGAATTACTACCAAGTGTTAAAAGGGTTCATTCTGCTAAAAGAACATCCCCAAGAGGGTTTGCAGAAAAATAAAGCAAAGTCAGGTAAAGTATTGTTGATGTGGGCTCTGCCCACAACACCAGCAACATACACTAACAAGGTTCTGATCCTCTGGTGTTGAAGAGGTTCCATTATATGTAATGGCCATTGTCCAAGAAAAGGAAGAAACAAGTCAAAATGTTATGAAGTAATGCATTAGAGAAGCTATCTGGTTATTTCTAGGTCCAGCTGATTCTCAAAATAAAAAAAAAAAAAACACATCATTAAGTTTACAGATAATGTCAAAAGGCCACTGAGTCTCAACTTTTCTAGCCACAGAAGTGACGTATTTAGATCAAGGAAAGGGCATGTTAGTAGGATTTAACTGAGTCTGTAATGCCTTGCATGGCACTCAGTCTGTCGCACCTGTTCCTTAGTGAAACAGAAAACTTTGCTTAGGAAAACAAGCACCTTCCACCAGCACTCAATTTACTTGTTTGAAAAAGTAATTGGAGGAAAACAAAGAGGTTCTTGTTCAGTATGAAATTTAGAAGGAAATCTTGCCAATGTTATGAATGATGAGCACTCCACTTTCCATGTTGAAATTGCTGGCACTGTTGTTGATATCCATAAATTAAGCAGCTGGGTTGTTGGTCTTTTCTTTCTTTCTTCCTTTCTTTCTTCTTTTTTGCAATTAAGCATGTAGTTCTTATAATACACAATAGGTCCCTTAGAAGTGTGTCTAATCTGTCTACTCCCATTAAAGACAAGCTGGATACAGGATCATAAACAGAGTCAGTTACAGTACATCTGTACAGTCAGAGAGCTGAGTTCCAAAAGAATTTACATTGGGAAAATCCCCAAAGCACTGGAAGAGACAAGCTGAAACGTGTCTACACTACAAAGAGCTAAGCAAAGGTTGTTCTTAAGTCACTGTGCTGTTTAGGAGGGCTGGGAAGCTGGTGTTTAACAAACACGATGAACAGAGTAGTGTGCCACTATCTCACTTACCACTGGTGTTTCAGTGAAGAGGGACAGAAAGAACAAATTTCTAACATAATATGTGGATTTTAAATGCCCGTATTGCTATGCTGGCACTTTGAGTTAAAGACCCTATCAACCAGCAGGAAGTTGTTTCCCTCCACTGTGGGGAATTTTTAAAAGCAGACTCAACCAAACCTGTAAATCAGGCCCCTTTTCAATAATGATAGACACTAATCGCCAAATTATTACCTTTAATTCTAGGGTACCAAGCACCATCAATTCTTTGTTCAGGTTTAGCTAACTTTATTTTATTCTCTGTTATTTAGAAGAGAAGTATAGAGCCGCCAAAGTCATCCAGCCTGGACTTGTGGATCTTCCTGGTTCACTCTCCCAAGCATGATGAAGCATGTAGCAACCTAGGGCATCTGCTGGGGGATGAAGCTTGGCTGTGTTTGTAAGTTCACACCTGCATTTACCTCTGTGCTTAGAGGTGACAGATACCCCTTTGTCGAAAATGAGAGAGCCTCTCCAACACACTCATACTTTCTGTAGAGGGCTTATAGTACTTTCCTTTCCAAAGTAGCTTTCATTCTCCCGTGTTGAACATCTGAACATTGAACTACCTATGAATAGAATTCAAACTGCCTAGGGCCATTCTGGGGCTGAACTTCTAAACCTAAGGGATAGAAATAACAATTTTAAAAACAGTAATCCTCTTAATCTACTACAGAAACATAGTCCTTTCTCCTTTATGTTCATTTTCTTTCCCTTTTTGGCTCAGGAATTATGCACATGTGATGGGAGGCAAAGCCTCTTTCTCTCATCTTCAGAATCACCAGAAATGCCTAGCTTGCCTGACCTTACTGTCCAGAGTTTACTTTGGACCTTGAGCTCATTAGGGAAATATTTGACATCTCAACTCCAATTATTTAGTAGTCACTAAGCTGCAAAGGCCACAGGGAACTGTCTGCAAGTGGTTATAATTGGAGAGCATCAGAAAAACGATAGCACAGAAATGCATTTTTCTTAATCTCCAAAGACAACACCACCTCAGGTCATGGTTCCTTTCCAATGTACACCGAGAGCCTGGAAAACAATTCACGGTCTTTCAGATTTGAAGTAACAAAAACACTCCCACAGACTGAACATCTTCTAAAGTCATCCCAGGAAGGCCTAACAAGATGAACATGTGCTTATTTCTCCTACTTTTTTCTATAAAATAAGCTTCTTGTTCATTCCCTTCTCATTTTCTATGTATAAAGTATTATGTTGCTTTCCCTTTGGTGTAACAAAAGTTCCTTAACTGTGGAGCTACCTGGGACTTCCTCTGCCATCTCCTCTCTCCTTGTCTATAACCTTATGTTGACTCTGAGTCAGCCTGCCAAGACACTTCGTTGCCAAGGGCAGATATTTCTCTCCCTTTTTTTTAATTTAAGATTTTTTTTTATTCATTT